AGCATCCACAAAGTGTTGAATTGAGAGCAATGGTTAATTAATTTTAATGGAATGATTTGTCGTCGGTATCGTTCTATTGACAACTATTCCACGCCCGTTTGTACTGGTCGAATATTATCACTTCCATACATTTTCACTGCAGTGGTTTTCAAATCACCCTGAAACTTGACTAATCAATTTCCACACAAAAACAAGCATTACATAGCGACACAGTGCTGATTGCATGTTCCCAAGCCATTCAGTGCCAGGACTCATCAGGGAAGAGCCTTACAGCGACATGGAATGAAAGTGTGGCACCGAATCAGGCCCAACAAGGCACGAAACAACAGTTTGTATAGTATGTATGTAAGCTAATCAACCGTATCGTGATAGCATTTAACCCCAACCGGACGGTAGTGGTACGGTGTAGGCTCATCGACCTTAACTGATGATCTGGGTGTGAGTTTAGCTAATTCCATATACAACAATATACATACATACCATACTCTGTCCCGAAGGGATGGCAAATATTGCGCCATTTCTATACCTCAAGCTGCCGTGTGTTGCGGCAGTTAACCGAAATCATTAGGTTTTATTGTCAACGATAGACGAGCATTACAGCTCAGCCTAATTTCATCGTACATGGGAGTGCTATCTGTAGAAGGAAAACAACTAACTGGTTGATGTTTTATCAGAGGGATAATTAAATCCAATAATTTACCTAATGAAAGTGGATCGAAACATTACTCGACATTGTTTGCTTCTTCACAACCGTCGATTGAATTGCTTTCCTTTAATTCCTGAAAGAGGCTGATGCTTCACATTCTAAACGACTAGTCAAGTGTTTGGTTTGAGCAGTCAATTTCACCAGTCGAGAGTCAATCTCCAAACAAGGGCCGCCTCTCATCGATACTAATGCCTTTTACTCGATGACGACGACGACGACGGTGCCTTGTTCAAACAAGCGTTGTTTAAAAATTCTTCTAATTCCACTTTACAGAACGGTTTCAGACTCTTCTATAAAGAGCTTGGAATGTACTCATCGCTTAGCTCAATATTTGACTTGGCGCTCAGCAGCTTTATTGGGAAAAGCCTTCGGCACTGCTCACATTGAAGCCATATCGAGAGGGAAATTGCCTATCAAACGCAGCAGCAGCAGCATACTCAGCAAAATTCAAACCACCCTATTCCTTGGTGTAGGCACTTTCCATCCGGCTCTACACGTGAACCCTTTTACATAATGTCTACCTATGGCCTGAAGAGAACTGCTATCGAACTGCCTTCTCGATTCTATACGAAAGAAATGGCTCATGGCAGTCGTTACCGAGTTTTTTTTTCTTCGATACCTTTAGTTCAGTTCTTGGTGGGTCTACTTTTTTGTCCCTGTAAGTCAATTGGGGGCGAGTTTGTTATCATCTTCGGCAGTGCTTTCTTGCTTTAACAGTCAGACTAGCAAGCCAGCAAACTGTTTGTCAACGCTATGACTGTCTCGTTGCCAAGAAGCGAGCTTGTTCACAGCATCGATACGCAGTTTAAAGGCTTTTATTTACTTTAAATTCCGATATAATTGTTTATCTTTTGACAGATACGCGTATTTCGTCTACTACTTGCAGACTTCATCAGTGCCAAGTACTCAACACCACTGAAGAATCCATCTTTTATCTACGAGTTATTTACTAATCAATAGGTACTAAAAATCAGCAGGTATCCACTGCCATGTCACAATTTACCTAACCTCCAACAGCTAGAGGCATGCTATGATGTATGAAAATTCCACGCGGGTCGCGTCTCGAACATACATACAAAGAGATGTCATCTGATCCCTGTGAAATCAAGTCATAGATGGCCCAGTGGTTCTCAAACTTATGTTGATTGTGATCCTAACCTATTTCATCATCAGTTAAATCTCAGACATAGGAACCAACATTAAATTCTAGGAGTTTGAATTTGAAACATGGTAAAATGCACACAGAATAAAATTCATACATTTAGGACTTAAACATGTTCAGGATCAGGATTTGAAAAATTTGAAAAAAATTGAAAAGTCTGGTTATAATTTGTCATGATTCTGATATTTGAAGGGAAACGAAAGTAATAAAGCATTTATTCAGAACAATTTTTTATTCGATGCATCGGAATAACTAACATTCGGAGTCAATCAAGATTTAACTTTAATTCGAATCGAAATGAATGAACTCGAAACTTGAATGATTATGCCCCTGTGTGCAACAAGATAATAATTAAATTTATTTTCACAAAAGCATTGGGATTTTATTTTTTTAATTTTAAATGAAGTTAATTTTGTTTATACCCATTTGGAACCAATTAATTATTCACACGAGCTTTTTCAGTGTTTTTGATTTATTTAATCAAAAAATACACATATAGAGATGACGTTAACTAGCATACAATATCAACATCCCAACAAACTAAGAAACTTTTAAGCGCAAAAAAATCATTACCAACATAGGAGAAAATTCGGTAAGATCCTTCCATTGCATTATTTTATGATTTTTCATTATTGTAGAAATATTTACACATTACACACAACTACACATAGTTACTCGAAGCATTTGGTACGGTATGTCCACGCATCCTTCCACCCCTGTAGATTCAAGAAATCATCTTTGCGGCAAATACAACGCAGTAGGCCTGGTCGTATTGATGTTTATATCATATCTCAGATATGCTGTAAACATCAATTAGACAAGAAAAATGATTAGGCCTCATCTAACCTAATCATTTTCCAGGATGCTTTCTCGTACTGGCTGCGTTTGTATTAGATTAGATGAGATTATTATTATGTTATTGTTAGAAACAAACACGTCAAGGCAATCATTCGAGTCTCATGATGATATGCTTTTAAGATTTCTCTTGATATCTATCACCGACCATGTTACACGTGACAGTTGAAAGTGCAACTCAATTTCCCCCCGGTGATCAATTTTCCCCCGGATTACGGTACTTCAGGAACAACCTACAGTCTTAAAAGAACATTGTATTTTTAAACATTTGGGGATTCTCAGAACTCAACCTGAAGTTGTTACCGGTTGGTAACATTTCATTCAGTTGGTGTAAGAGTAGGGTCAGAGTTGTTAAGATAGATAGCTCCATAACTTCACTTCTAAAGTGACCGATAAGGTAGGCCACAGCGATGATGGAGGTGTTTTGCTGCATAGGCGAAGCGACCACTGTTCACTGAACCACCACCGACTTGTCATAGAGTAGTGGGAGATGGAAACTAGCTACGGGGAAGGTGAGAGTCGATGATGAGGTGAGAGATCGTTCGACCGAGATACAGTAGGTTGCAGACTGTGGTGCAAGAGACTTCGGTTTTTTACGAGATGGTAGACTGTGGTGCGGGATAGAAATCGTTTTATTATGTAGGATTATGTCTTTTGGCAACATATTAGGGGAGCAATTTCAAAAAAACAAAATCGACCGCATTACGAAAAGAGGTCAGGTTTTGACCACATATATCTCTGTCAATAGCAGATGGATTTTAATTCTAAACAAGCCAAACGATTGGAAATTTATCTACCAATCTGCTAAAATGAACGCTTTATTAATTTTCAATAGGTTACTATTTAAAATTATACCAATGTCCAACTGTTGCAATGGTGATCAAAATTATCATCGATTGCCTGCAAACAGCGCTTTCCCTAACACAGTTTTAAAAATCTAATTCCATGCGGTCTCACTGAACGGTGCTCATTCAATCACCGTGTGTGGTGGTGTCCGGTTGTCGATATTAGCAGCAGTAGCAGTAGCAACAGCAGTGCTTTCGGTGTGTGGCGTTGAACATTGTTCTCCAGTACACAACGAAAGGCTGCCTGCAAGCAGCGAGCTGCAGAGCCAACATGAACAACCATTGATGGAGGAAGAAGCCGCATAAAAGATACTTTCTGCCCCACCCCATTCATATAATTTGGCAGGAAATCCTGTAAGGGGTGAACTATTTTGAGTGCAGAATGTGTAAAGAAGGAGGGACTTCGGATGTTAATCTAAATGCATATATAGAGGTACCAGACATGTTTTGCACTGCACTGTCCTCTGTGAACAATAATCGGAAAAAAACATTATGTGTAGTTTCCGCTAGATGTCACCGCCAACAACAGCAGTGACATCTGATGGAACATGAATGCAGAAGCTTGACAAATAGATTAATTTGTATTTCCTCGGCTTTCATTCCACTTCGCACGATTCTTTTCTTTCGTTTATTCAATCACCCTTGTAGTGACGTCAAAAAGTTTGTTTCGATCGGCGCTTACGTAGGAAATTTAATATGAATTATAGAATTTTTTATGTTACCAAAATGTATGAATGGTCTGCCACTAAATGTTGAGATAATTTATTTATTATTTAATTATCACACTGTATACCATGCAAAAGCAGACTGATTGTGAGTTTTTGCCTGTTTTCAAGTGAGGAGTTATAATTAAAAAAAAAAAATAAATCGCCAGCTGGTATTTCCCGGCGACTTAACAAAATGATACAATCAAACAAAATCATCATGCAGAACTAGCTTGGATTTTTTTTACTTCATATTTCACAAAATTGCACATCGTCTCCCGCAATGTTCACATTTTGACGCCATCCGGCCATCGCCATCCGGCCATCGCCATCCGGCCATCGCCATCCGGCCATCGCCATCCGGCCATCGCCATCCGGCCATCGCCATCCGGCCATCGCCATCCGGCCATCGCCATCCGGCCATCGCCATCCGGCCATCGCCATCCGGCCATCGCCATCCGGCCATCGCCATCCGGCCATCGCCATCCGGCCATCGCCATCCGGCCATCGCCATCCGGCCATCGCCATCCGGCCATCGCCATCCGGCCATCGCCATCCGGCCATCGCCATCCGGCCATCGCCATCCGGCCATCGCCATCCGGCCATCGCCATCCGGCCATCGCCATCCGGCCATCGCCATCCGGCCATCGCCATCCGGCCATCGCCATCCGGCCATCGCCATCGGGCCATCGCCATCGGGCCATCGCCATCGGGCCATCGCCATCGGGTCATCGCCATCGGGTCATCGCCATCGGGCCATCGCCATCGGGCCATCGCCATCGGGCCATCGCCATCGGGCCATCGCCATCGGGCCATCGCCATCGGGCCATCGCCATCGGGCCATCGCCATCGGGCCATCGCCATCGGGCCATCGCCATCGGGCCATCGCCATCGGGCCATCGCCATCGGGCCATCGCCATCGGGCCATCGCCATCGGGCCATCGCCATCGGGCCATCGCCATCGGGCCATCGCCATCGGGCCATCGCCATCGGGCCATCGCCATCGGGCCATCGCCATCGGGCCATCGCCATCGGGCCATCGCCATCGGGCCATCGCCATCGGGCCATCGCCATCGGGCCATCGCCATCGGGCCATCGCCATCGGGCCATCGCCATCGGGCCATCGCCATCGGGCCATCGCCATCGGGCCATCGCCATCGGGCCATCGCCATCGGGCCATCGCCATCGGGCCATCGCCATCGGGCCATCGCCATCGGGCCATCGCCATCGGGCCATCGCCATCGGGCCATCGCCATCGGGCCATCGCCATCGGGCCATCGCCATCGGGCCATCGCCATACGGCCATCGCCATACGGCCATCGCCATACGGCCATCGCCATCCGGTTATCGCCATCCGGTCATCGCCATCCAGTCATCGCCATCCGGTCATCGCCATCCGGCGATTGCCATCCGACTGTCACGACGGTGGAATGGAACAGCCGGATTCCATTGCGTTAATTAGGAAAGCTTACACAGAAAATTCCCCCTCGCTGACAAATCCTGGGACTTGGGAACAAAAGAGGCCTTTGGTGCCCACCCCAGTGACTGCCGATAGGCTTCTTGGACGGTGCAGAATCTCCCGGGGTTCAATAGCTAAGAGTTTCAAAGTCATGGAAAAATGTCCAGAGAACTTTACTAATATATTTGTTTATATGGATATCTTTTGAATATTTTCTGCTGTATAGGAAGGATATCTGAAAGAATATCCTGTAACTTATGCAACGTTTTCTCAACATCTAAAAAAATCCCTTAAGTTTTACTAAATTTCCTCAACTTTTACGAAGTTCCCTGAATTTATTCCAAATTCCATATTTTGTCAATCTCTCTTAATTCTACCCGGAGACGAACCAGCGTTCGGCTGAAAGTCTCCTTAATAAAGATAACTAACTAACTAACTCTTAATTATACGAAGATCTCTGAACATCTTTGCACTTCTGGAAAGGTGCCTACAAATATTCTTGAACATCTGAAAAGTTCCATGAAATTTAAAAAATTTAAATTTATCATCGAACTTGACAAGTTTAAAAAATATCAGAGAATAATAAAACACCAAAACTTCTGAGACGGGGAGGCTAGATAATTCTGCAGGGAGCCTGGTCCCTTTCGCACTTCCAGTAGCTACGCCAATGGACTCACCCGCACTGAAGCCTGAAGTTGTAATAACTCCAAAATGGCTTTACAATACGAAAGAACTAAATGATTGTCGGAAACCCAAAAACAAAATGACAATGATAAGTATAAATTAGGGAATTTCGCCAAAATGCCAAAATGTTAAAATACCAAAAATAATAAATTAAAATATTTACTTAAAAATGGCTAACATTTAACGAAAACTCCAATTCTACTTCAAAGGTCTTGAGGGTTGTTATCTGTCTGTCGAAGTCTGTTGCACAGACTGAACACTTGTAGTTTAGTGGGCTTCGTGGTCGTGCGGTTAGCGGCGTCACCCGTCGTTCAGGCGTATTGTGAGTGCCACGAAGTGAGGGTTTGATTCCCGCTCCAGCCGGTGGAACTTTTCGCAACCCGGAAATTTTCCTACTGGTCTACTGGGTGTTGTGTGTTGTCCATTGTCTAGTGTTAAGTATTCAGTCTGTACAACCTCTGGTTGAAGACGGTGTCAATTGTCTTGTTGAAGAAGGATATAATTTCTATTTAATTTCACTACTTTAATTGCACATCCTTGACAAATTCATGTATTTTGTGTCTACACTGTGCAGACTTCTCCAGTGTCTTGTACTAATACTCGATACTTATGATGTATTGGAATCAGATGTATTTGCTTTACTATCAATAGCGATGTTTCGAGATATCAGTATACTATACTTAATTCTTAATGTCTAAATGTCCTAATCGCCGCCGGGATGTTCTGATGCATAACATCTCTGATGACGCCTAAGGGGAGTAAGTAAAGCTGTTGGTGCCCGGTTCATGCGTTGATGGGTCGATAGGTAGGGTCCAGGAGTGGGAGTTGTCTCCCTGGCGTCGGTAGCATTGGTACTCAGTACGGAAAACAAGATAAACGGAAAACAAATTAAGGAAAAAAATCAAATGTCCTAAATTGAGTACGATGTCAAACAAATCACTCACTTGTAAATCGAAACTCTATCCATCAGTGTCTAGATAGAATGAAGCTTTCTTGTCAACAGTGAACATTTAAAATCTCGTAAGGTCGTTTCGAAAAGTAGCTTCAGCATACGCCTTGAAATGTTTGGATTATTTTATCTGATTAACTTATTTTGAACCTTGCAATCATTTGATGTCTTTATCACAGTAGCTCCAACGAAACCATTATCATATTTACCAGACACGAGAAAAACAGCATGGAAAAGTTTTTGCGACAAATCCGCTTCACAAAAAGTCATTCAGCTTCACATGTCTCTTATCTGAGTTTGGTACGAAGAATTATTCAAAGCATGTTGAAAAACTTGACAGCGCTGCTATCGTCGTCTGCTCACCGATTGACTGACAGTAACGGATACGCATACGTACCCGGTTTGATGAGGAAACTTTTGATCTAAACAACTGCTGAAGAATTTCATTTCCTTTTGAAAAAAATCCTTCCTGGCGCGGTACCTTTGAATAAAAAGTTCTATTCACAAGAATCCAATGTCGTGCCTAATCCGTATCAACATCCAGTCAACCAACCCAACAGGCATTGAAATATATACGACATTATACTTTTTGCCATAGCACAGTGCTCGAATATACAACCGGTTACCATATTCAGTGTAAATACTTTCACACAAAAGATGAAAGTGGTGCGAACTGTGCACGGTAACAAACATATTTCCTTCTAAATGTGTGAGCTCGAATGCCACCTCCCGCGACACCCAGCCGACCCTACCGAGTCCAAATGTGCTGATAAAACATCCCCCCCGCAGGAAGCAATTGGAATCGTCTCTTCCGTTTTCCGTTGCGACAGAAATTCGCAACCCTCTCAAGTCCGATCCCGAACGCTTTTTAAAGCGATTTAAAGTGCAAACTATGGAGCATTTCTAGCTCAAATCGTTAAAAAAAATGTCAATTTTGTCTCGACCCCTTCTGATTTGAATGAAACATTGCTCACGTGTTCGCTGCTACTAATGGTTGCATTTTTCATTTAAATATGATTTTTTCCTCCAGAGTAACTTTTGAAAAGGGCGTATAAAAAAAATTGATTATTTTTTTTCAAAAAATCATAACTTGAAAACTTTTGATCTGATCAAAACGGCATATGAGAAGAAGTTTTAGGTAGTTAAATTATCTTTGCTGAAAAAAATACACTGAAAGAAAAAACTTCGTAAATTAGTGTTTAAAAAACTTAAACGATGATTATCTCAAAACACCCCCCCTTCGATCTTTATAATTTTTTTTTCAAGAAAATTGATGAAATACCCTTAAATTTCGTGAAAAGTGTATGCTGGTAACTTCCTTAAAAATAAATCTATAATTTTTTAAATTTTTGTTGATTTTTACAAGTTGATGAAAATGCATATTTTTTTGAAAAATAACAATTTATTTGGATTTTACGCATAATTTTCGATAACTTTGCGTATATAAACTTTTTTCCTAAGTCCAGCCGTTCTCAAGTTAATGCAAATTAAAAAAATATAATTATAACAATTTTCAACATTTTAGGCCATTTTCAAATGTTCGTCTAGATGTCCAGCAACGAGATTTTATTTCATGATTGTATATTAAAAAACAAACAATTCATTCTCAGATATGGTAGCTGTCAGACTTACCCGTTTCTATCTAGAGGCAGCGGAAGAGAAGCACGTTGATGTGGTCAAATGAAAGATTTGTTGAGATAAGAAACAGTTTATATTTATTATTTTATTTTACAACTCATATTATTTGAATACATTGAATAATTTGGATGTATCGTTTGAATTAGAGAATATTTTTACTGC